TACAATATATATTTGCCATAAAATAGACCTTGATGATAATTACATAATAATATTTTATTGACATTCTTATTCCATAAAATTATCTCTACTTATTAGTGTATTAACCCTGAAATCAAACTTTTCTGTATGACATTTACCAATGATTATTGACTTATGAAATAAGAATCTTAATAATAGCCATAAGAGTCTACAATGGGATCAGTTATTGACTCTTCAGCTTTAGTTTGTCAATACATTGAATGCAATGTCAAAACATGTCATGTTTTCCCTCCCTTTATGTCCTTTAATGCACTGTTTTTTATAATAAAAATGAAATCTGTTTTTGAAATCAATTGAATTTATCAAACAATGCATTGATTTGTTTGGAAGATATTATTGAATGAATGCTTGCATTGGATTCAGAGCTCAAGTGATTATATGAAAGAAAGATGCGATCATTGATCCGTCAAATTGTGTTTCGCATGTCTTCACTCCTTTGCGCTCACGAATCGACACTACATTACAATTATGCCATTTCTCTATATATGCATTACTTTTATTCATTTTTTCATATAATCTTAGATTCCGGATAACAACCCACACACTATTGTACTCTATATAATATAATTGGCTAATTTTACAAGTCAGCACCTTGCACACTTTAAATGCAATGAATAAATGCATTAATTTATTGTTTCTATAATCATTTTATTCTATTAATTCAAAATTATTTCAAAAATATTTTATATTATTGCTAGATTCTATTTATATTATCATAAGAATAATCATTTATCAATTTATTTTAACATTTTATTATGGTTTATTTATTATTATTATGTTTTTAATAATATTATACTTTTACTAGAAAAATTTTGAAATATGACAAAATAATAATATTATTATGATAGACTGTCATTGATAGTACAACTATAAATGGACAAATATTAAATATATTATGTTAATTAATTAAATATACGGTTTTATTTTTACAACATTTAATACATTATGTGTGTGTGTGTCTCAATAGCTATGAATACAGTACATAATAAAATTATCCTGATTAAATATTTGAACAAGTTGTAAACAATTCGTGTTCTTTCAATGATGTATTTATATAACTTGAATAAATTATTTTTGTGATTTTCATGCAATAATAGTCTTATTATAATACGATATAATTGGAAAACAATATTGACATGTTTTTATTTTATAATTTTTATTAATATTAGTTTATTATTTATTTTTGTGTTTTATTATTGCATTATTAATTAAAATTATAATTATGCCAATTATAACAATATCCGGTTATTTGTTTTAATAATATATTTATTTTTTACAAAAATATATTAATAAATTGTAAATAGTACCAATAAATTTATAATTAATATTTAAATGACATGCTAGATACAATATAAAAGAGCTTTGTTATAACATAATGCAATGTTTTCATAGCTTGTTATTTAAATTGAAAACAAGTTTATCATAAATGCATAAAAATGAATACATTAATGCATTAACGAATGAATTGTTAAAAACAATGAAAATATGTTGTTTTGATGTATAATTCTGTGAATTGTACGATAAATATGACTATAAAATACATGTTTATTGATTTAAATTAATATATGAAAAGCTTATCTAATATTTATGAAATTTTTTTTAGTATTTTATTTCTGGTTTTATTATAATTATTAACAATAAAAAGATTTATAAAACAATAGGTTTTCATTAAAATTCAAATTCGTAAACACGTTATCACATTATGTGGTAAATATTTTAACAAAAAGGAGAGAGAGAGAGGCTTACTAAAGTAGAGACATACTAAATAAGTAAAATTAAACAAATATACTACAAATTTTAAATACAAGATTTAGTTCTTACAAACTAAGACTTTATATAAAAAGCATTTTATATTTATAAAGTTACTATAATATATTATATTAAAAACTTTACATATTATTAAAATTATTTCTAATTTCTAACTAATAATCAGAACTTTACATAATAAAAAGTTTGCTAAAAAATTATTATTAAATTTAATATTATTTTACTAACGTAATAAAATATTTTCTTTGTTTAATTAAAAACAATTATATATTTCTGTCTTTTCTCATAAGACAGACGTTTCAGATTAATCATATAAATATAGGGTAATATTATTTAACGTTAATTTAATTTTATTGTAATGATAAAATACAAAAAATTATGTATAAACAAATTATTTAAAATCAATTTTACTTTACAATAAAATATGCATTATTTCACAAATTTAGATACATTGCAATCGTTTATCCACTAAAACCACGAATGACTAAAAGAAAAGGTAATTTAATTTCCAAATAATATTAATATATAGTATAAATAAATGTAATGATTAAATATAATATCAAACAGCAATCACTCAAATTATAATCGTGTGGATCTGTGGTATAATGTTTGCGATGCCGTGTCTTGTCTTCGCTCAGACACTAACCATACCCTACAACCAAAACATAAGCCGAACCATATGTTTGCTCGAATGGCCCGACGGTCTGTCCGGACAGTCAGAATTGGATTTCATGTAAATCTCTATTTAATACTAGTATTTATAGAAACTGATGATCACTTAAGTGTCAAAATTACAAACAAATAAATTGATTTCGTTTTTTTCTTCGCTATATTTGAAGGAATTGTTTCTAAAAATATTCGTTCATTTGAACCGACCATAAGTTGAGAGTTTCAATGACTTTATTGTACAAAACACTTAATTCTTTACCAGAAGAGAAAAAGCCAAACATTGTTGTGTTATAATTTCATTGCAGTCATCTATTATTCAAACCTTAGATTAGATTTTGAGTACAAAATAGCAATTTTTTTCTTGTTTATGTCCTGCGAAGAGAAAAGTGAAACAAAATGAGAAATACGATAAATAGCTTTTATTGGCGAATAAATTAAATTTCAAACTCACTTTTGTTTGTACAGTTTATGTGAATTAATTCTTATTTGACTATTTTTATGCCATTTGCCCAAAGTTTTTACATTTATGTATATTTAGATTTTATGCCATAGTTTGAGTGATAATAATTTACATACTTTACATTTAATCAGATTAAAATTTAATTAATAAGATATACAGTACTCTTTACACTGACTTTATTTGAGTTTTACATAGATTTAATTATCCGATAAGTTAGTTAGATACATTAGTTTTATTGTAATATTATTACATTAAAAGTAATGAGAAATTCTTTGAAAACATTTTTTCATATCTATTAAAGTAGTGCTTAAAAGACAATTGGGCTTATTTAATTAAATTTAAATTAGTTTCCAACTCAATAAGTTTTACTGGTCCAGTTATGCAATTAAAAACGATTTTAACATTATACACTTACGACTATAATTCCTAAGTCTAATTATTATCTATAAATAGTACATTGATTTTAGTAATTTATTATATTAATCTAATTACATTTCATGATTATTTCAAACTTTTAAAGAATTAATAAATATTAATTAATTGTGAAAAATAATACTGTTATAAAAAAAATATTTTAATATTGATTATAACAGTATTAATGTTTAGGGTATTTTGTTTGCAATTCATTTTGTTTTTTATACACAATACTGTTGAGCAATTAGATCAACAATATTTGGTTAACTAATAACATGTTTATCTTAACGCATGGACTATAGTTTATGTATTATAAATTATAAATAATTTTACTAATGATGTTATGAAATGGATTATACGATGTGTTAACAGCTATAACATAGTGTTTCTACTGTTGACATACATCGTTCCCGTGTCAACAATGGTCATCGCCTACTCACTCATGGCTCGGGTCTTATGGGGCTCTCAGGCCATAGGAGAGGGCGACGCCAACTCTTCGCAACAGCACTCCATTACCAGATCCAAACAGAAAGTGGTCATCATGCTCATTTGCGGTAAGCATTACCAATACATATTATCAATACATTGCCCACAAATTAATGTTAATCTTAATTTCTTATCTTTCGTTACATGTCTAGTGGTCTCTGTGTTTGCCATTTGTAAGTAACAGTTGTGCAGTATTTTAATTAACTTAATTTTTTTAATTGCTAACTAATTAAATATTTGTCCGATAGGTTGGCTCCCATATCATACATATTTCTTGTTAACATATCACTGGCCAGAACTTATTTTGTCGCCATTTATTCAACACATATATCTTGGCATCTATTGGCTCGCAATGTCTAACTCTATGTAACTTTACATCATTTAAAGTGTAAAACTCTTGGCATTTAACAAATACTTTTATTATAGGTTTGATCCGATAATTCTTCTGGTTATGAATAAAAGGTAGGATTTGATAATTAATTATTTGATATACTGTCACAATAGATGTAAATTTAATTGTATTTCTTATTATTCAGATTTCGTCGCTATTCAGTGAAATGTCTTTCATTTCTATTCATTTGTATTACAAAAAGACAATTAAATTCCGAGTTCTCGACGAATATAACAGCCAATCAACGAGTGCTCAATACTCGATGCAAACCCGACTCACAAATGGCACATCTCTAACATTTTACACATTTTTATTTATTAATATTTATGTTTATTAATTATATCTTTTAATATTTTCATCAATAATGTAAATAGATTTCAATAAATATTGATTAACTAAAGCCTAATAAAACTGTAATTATCTAATGTTTAAATATTGATTGCATAGGATTGCACTCATTTTCAATTGTAAAGTAAATAATGTGTTAATAATTAACAGTTAATGTTTAAGAATTAAAAATTTATTAATGATATCGAATAATAATAATAATATTATTAGACAAATAGGAATAACAGTAAATATAATACAAAAGATTTTTTGCTCAATATTTGTCACAAATGAAAGACATGATTGAAGCCAAAAAAATGTGAAGTTATAATACAAATAC